CCTCCCCCATTTCTGAAGAAGGGTCTAGACCCGAAACGTCAGCTTTCCTGCTCCTCTGCTGCTTGTCCTGCTGTGTTCATCCAGCTCTACACCTTGTTATTAATGATGCACTGTTGGATGAAGGCTGCAGTAGTAGGAAAATAGCTAGTCCTCGAGGTTTCCTTGCCACTGGAACTGGAACTGGAACTATCTTGTGTCAAGGACAATATGTCTGCTAATATGCAACAGTATCCCTGCATTAAAAGATGTCCCAGACAAGGTGTCTACCTAAAAGGAATTCAACCTCCCCATACACACAACACCAATCTTCTGGCGATTGGCAGAGGTGATGGGGACAGGATTGTGGGATCTGGAAGTTCTTAACTTTGTACTGGTATGTAGGTGGTGGAGTTTGACTCGGTCATTTTGCTCTTCGAAGAGACCGTTTTGGCAGCTTTCCTCATTATTGAGCAGCTGTTTCCAGGATCCACTCTGCATTGGAGAAGGGGCTTAAAAGGTGCCTTAAAACTAGTCTGTTCTGTCTCTAACCTAGTTGGAAGGCCGTATCTAGCTTCTCCACCTGCAGTCTGTTAACCAAAATCAAACTTGGAACCTGGAATGTATGAACCCTTCTGATAATGAGCAAAACAGTTTTCCAGAATGAAAAGTTGCCCTTGTTGCCTATGACTCAGGCTACCCTGCAGGAGACTCAAAGAGCAGACCAAGGGCAGCTGAAGGAAGAAAGTGGTGGTTATGCTTTCTGGAGAGGAAAACCTAAGGATCTACGCAGGACACATGGAATTGGATTTGCTATCAAGAAAAAAGATCTTCAACTGACTCTCTGAACCTCCTGTTGGCATCAATGATCGCCTCAAGACTTGGTCTACACCTTGCCACGAACTAACTGGCAACGGTCACGTGGGATGGATTGTTGGAGGCAGTGGTGGATGAAGGTGCAGTGGCAGCGTTTGGAAAACATTTGGATGGGTACGTGAGTTGCTGTGGGGTTTGGAGAGATATGGGGCCAAGCGCAGGCAGGTGGGATTAGTTTAGTTTGGGTACGTGGTCAGTGTGGACTGGTTGGACCAAGGGGTCTATTTCTATGCTGTATGACTCAATGTAGTAAGTGCATATCTGAAATTGCTGCTGACACAAAGATGGTTAGTGTTTATACTGTAAGCAACAAAGCATAAAATTACAGACATTAGTTGGAGAATGGGCAAGACTATCGCAATAGATTTCAATGTAGGCAAATGAGATAATCTACTTTAGATATAAAAATATAAAAGTCGGTGTTCTCTTAAATTGTGAACCAGTGAAAACAATGCAGACCATACAGACCTGGGAGTCTGTCTATACACAGCTCATTGAAATGTCATGACTAGGTACAAAAAGTAATTAAAGACCAATTAAAATTTTGGTTTATATATCTATGGTACTAGAATACAGAGGGCCAGAAGTCATGCTTCAATAATAGAGATTGAGTATGACTACATCAGAAGGTTCCAGGCACTACACCATAGCAAGGTTATATTAACTTTGGAGGGAATGCATGTAAATTTACCACAATTATGTCTGGACTTCAAAGGTGAAACTCTGAGGAGAGATTTCACAAACTAGGTTGTGGTCTCTGGAATTTAGAAGATTATGGTGTCCAAGATGAGTGATTACAGTCAAAATGAGAACCTGATATTTTGGGAGTGAAATTAGGAAATAATTCTAAACACATTGGTGGGAAAGGTTGGAATTACCTTCTGCAAACAGCAATGGATGCTAGATCAATTGTTAATTTTCAAACAGGTTAATTGATTTTTGTTAATCATGGCATAGGTGGTTAAAAAAAATAGTACTAGCAGGTCATGGTTTAAGCAGTAGCAGAGCAGTCATGGTGAAACCTTTTAAATTGTCCTACCCTATTCACCACACCGTCACTCAATGAAGTTTTTACTTCCAGTTTTCTTTGTAGTAAAGCTTACAATGTGTTTCATGATATTTTCTGTTTGAGTTCCTTTTTTCAGATTCACTCTTAGGAGCCCTAGTAGGTGCATAGGCTTCCCGTGCAACTTGCAGCATTCTGAACAGTGTCTCACTTTATTACAATGGAAACATTTAGGCCTTTGATTTTTCATCTCTACTCTCAGCACCCTGCTTTCTGATCTGAGGGGATCTTGGGGCATTCCTACCTGTATTTTCTTTACTCTGACTACTTGCCTTCCTTTCATTCTCCTAAACCCTGGCCTTCTCAAGTTTATGGGGCTAATGGAGAAAAGGTTTTGTTTTATGAATCAGCTAATTATTGTCTGTGTGGGGTATAATGTAGTAGCAGTTATGATGTAAGGAATAACAGTTTTATTAGAAAAGAGTTTTTTACATTGTTCCAACAGCATTATTTTTCAGAGCTTCAAAGCTCAGTTTTTAAGTATGTCGTAATCCATAGAAACCTCCTCTAACAGTGCTACTTGAATTTCTCGTGCTCCATCTATTAACTTACTTTGCAATGGGCAATGTCCAGTTTTCCTTTGGCAACGACATTTGTTTTACTGTTTCCTCTAATGACGTAAATCATGCCACCACATCATGCTCAAAATATGGTAGGGCCTGCACACATTGAAACAATTTCCTGTTAGACCTTAGATGATTAATACTTTCTGTATCAGAGTCTTTTTAGCATCCAACGTGTTTTGTTAGCTGCAGAATTTTGTCAGTGTCCCTGATCTCTAACCTCTTTTTGTCTTTCTTCTTTTAAATTCAAGTTCAAGTTCTCATTTTCATCTCCTTTCGCATTCTTTCGATTCCAAAGCTTTATTTATCATGCTGTAGAGAAGGATTACATCGTAGTCGCTTATGTAGGGTGAGTCTGGAGTCACATACAGGCCAGACTGGAATAAGGCATTAGCAAACCAGATGGGTTTTAAAAACCCAATCTACAGTGATATCTTTGAGTCAAACTACCCTATCTGTCATGATGGGATTTGAATCCATGATTCCAGAACATTAGTTTGGGGTTCTGGATTACTAGTTCACTGACACTATATACTTCAACCGTCCTTCCTCCTGGGGACACCAGGAAATTGTGTAACCCCATTCAATGAGATCATGGCTGCTGTGGAAACTAGTATCCCATACCCTTAACATCTTTATATAATATGCCTTATTATGAACATACATGCAGAACAAGAGCAGGAGTAGACTTTTCTGTCCTTCGATCCTCCTCAAGCCAAGCCAAATTCCTGGCATTCCAAACGGAATTCCATCAACAAAACGTTGAGCTGGACCCGACATACAAACCACTGAGAAATAGAACCGGAAGTAATGCCAACCACCCCACAAACCGAGCCATATAAATAACATGCAGGACAGAACACCAACACTTCACCAGAGGCGCTCTGACGATGTTACCTAGCAGGGGGATGAAACGTCGGCAATCAAACACACTGGCTTGGCGAGCAAGTCTGCAACCTCAATTTCTCCTTGTTTCTATTTTTAATGGGAGAATCCTTATTTTCAAACTGTTCTCTCATTCTTGTCTCTCCCACAAAATGAAATATATGTTCGGCATCTATCCTTCCTTAAAGGACATTAGTGAAGCAGATAGGTTTTCCCACCAATCGACAATTATTAGATGGTCATCATTGGACTCTTCATCTCCGTTTTTTTTTATTGAATTGAAATTCCACCATCTGCTATGTGGGATTTGAACCCGGGTCCCCAGAACATTGCCTGGGTCTCTGGATTAACAGTCAAACAGTAATATCACGAGGCCATCACCTCCCCTTTAAGAGATCAGAGTCACCTTCTCAGTTCACCCAGGCAAAGCGGACCGCAACAGTTCTGACTTGGCTTTCAATTCTTCATACTGTCTCAGCAGCAGCCCAGAACCATCTCTTAGAAACACATGTCAAACAAAAAACAACTTGAATTCTGGTTCGTTCCGATAGACTGACTGACACCTCCTGCAATCTCACTCGCCATTCAACCACTACCATCTGCTTAAACATAGGGTCTCTACCAGACTTGCTGGACTCAATCCCAGGTATTGATCTTGTTAATAGCCAAATTCTGCTATCTGTTTAAACTTTTTTTTTCTTGGGTTGCTGTGTTTGTTAGAACCTTTTTAAGTAAAGCTTAGACTGCAATTATCCTCCAGGCCTGGCCTCTCAAACAAACACAGGTTGTTTGGTCTGTTCTTTTCCTTTTACCATAAGCTGTCTCAAAGACTACCAGTCATTTCCAACTCATTCCAGTTCAAAATTGATTAAAGAATAATGAAAAATCAATGAGGGTTCTAACACTATCCAATCAAATCATTTAATAATATTCCACACTTCACCTGGACCTCTGCTTAATTTTCTAAAGGTCAGGTAACAAGCTGAACCTGTTCCACTAATATAACTCTTCAGTCCCACTATCATATGGTTCTAGTGATGACTCATCATTTACTTAATAACTGTGAGATAGAGCAAATGGTTGTCTCAAAGCAGTTTGGATAAATTCTTGACCTTGCATTTGGTCATTTCAGGAATTGCGACTTTATCTCCCTGAAGCACCAGCGGACAGTGACGAGGAGGAGGAAGAGGGAGCAACTCCAAGCAGTCGGCAGTCTATACCCATGGACCCAGGTACACCATCAGTAAAGGGAATGGGGTAAAATAGTGACAGCTAATCACAGAGAGGTGCTGTAATGGAACCAATAATCATCCAGAGAGTGCGCAGAATTATCCAGAAGCAATAATAATCCAGAGATAGAGGGGGAATAGACCCTGATGATTGCCCACAGTTAGTGGTGGGGGAGGTGGAATAGACCCTGATGATCCCTTGCAGAGAGGGGATAATCATGAGAGGGGGCTTGGAATAGGACCTGAGAAGTGTATAGAGAGTGAGGATAAACTCTGACACAAGCAGCTCAGCGGTTAGCATTGCTGCCTCACAGCATGGGACCCAGGTTCGATTTTACCCTCGGGCGACTGTCTGCGTGGAGTTGGTTTGCATGTTCTCCCCGTATCTGCTTGGGTTTCCTCCGGGTGCTCCGGTTTGTCCCTCAGTCCAAAGATGTGCAGGTAGTTGGATTAGCCAACTGTTACCCTGTAGTGGCCAGAGTGGTTTTTTCTTTTTTTTTGGTGAGGGGGTGGTGGGCTGGTGGTGGTTGTGATGAGTGTTAGCCATGGTAAAAACCCCATGTGGGGTTGTGGAGAGTGGGTCTAGGTGGGCTGCTTTTCAGAGGGTCGGTGCAGACTTGATGGACCAAATGGCCTCTTTCTGCACTATAGGGATTTTATGAATCACCGAGGGAGAGAGAAAGAAAATAGACCTTGATAATCAACTAGAGAGCGGGGGAAGATGGGGGTGTAGACCCTGAAATTGCTCAGAGGGAGGGTGATTGGACGCTGATGATCACTGAGAGATAGACAGATGGGGAGTGTATTTTGATAATCACCAAGAGGGGTGGGTGGTGTATAGACATTGTAATTGCTTAGATACAGAGGGTATAGATGTTGATAAACACCCAGAGAGCAGGAAAGTAGACCCTTTAAAATCACCCAGAGAGGGAGAGAGAGAAGGAATGGACTTGGAGCCAGTGTAAGTCAGCAAGATTGGGGTAAACAGAACTTGAAGATTATGAGCTCAGTAGCTATTTTTTGGATAAGTTCAGAGTAAATGTCAGTTGGAAGCTAACTAAAATGTGATAGTTTTGTCGAGTTTGGAAGTGAAACAAGTATGGATCAGAATATCCTTCTCACCTGCACTTATCTTTCTATATCTCTCTCTCTAACAAAAATAAAACTTGATTGACCAGTGGCCGAGTGGTGGGAGAGAGGCTGAAGTTAGAAGTTATGTTTTGTACGCCACTATCACTAGCTTCTCCAACTCTTAGATATGTCTTTATCTTGCAGAACATGTGGAATTGGTGAAGAGGACCATGGCTGCAATCAAGATCCCAAGCCTGGGAGTCCCATCGTGGGCCCAAGAAATCTCTGATGAACAGTGGCAGTCTGTCGTT